AGTTATATGGGACTAATAACCCTATCCAAACCCTCACTGAACACATGGGCACAGTAAAATTACCTCATTGCCCCTTGTTTTGCGAAGTTTGTGGCGGAGAACATCGCGCACCTTGCGGGGGAGGTTCTAAAAGGAAGCTTACTCATCATATTGTGCGTAAAGCATACGGCATCCTCCTGATTTTACTCCATTAGCCTCGGTTTGTTATCCAAAGTCACTTTTATAATATTTTAGTGTCGTTGCCAATCTTTTAAAGAAATGACAGAATTGTGATAGTGGCTCAAATCTTAGACATTGCATATTATCTCTTCAATCTTCAATAATTGCATATTTGTCCCTTGATTATTCAAAATTGTATATTAATCCCTCAAATCCTATAGGGTCTTGGAAAATCGTCCTTCAAATTAAATCATCTTAGAGCTGAGGGAATATTCCATCAATTGGAGGCAAAATGACCATTTTACCTGCTCTATTACATGTCCCAACCATTTCTTTATAGGTTTAAACCCAATACCCGCTTAAAATAAATTCAAATTCACTTGAGTTCTTTTTTTGGTCAATGAAAAATATGTATTCATTTACCAATTTGGAAAAATTTGTACATCAGTTCATTCCAGCTTTGCTGGAAGTAACAAAGAAAGAGAAAATTTTACATATGCTCTATCTTTTCCTTTATATAGACAGGTATGTCATCATTTAGAATTTTTGATAGAATAGTAATCTTCACAGATCTAAAAACAGGTTCAGGCCCTCTTGCAATGGATTGGAAGATCCTCCGGTTTCTTTCTTGCCATATAGCATAGACTGAAACAGACAAAGCCATTCTCTTAAGCTTCTTCATAAATCCCTCACCCTTTAACCTCAAGGTATACCAATCAACAACATTATCCCAGGTACAAGATCTCCTTTTGTAATTCAGCCAGTCCATGACTCTATTCCATATGTAAACTGAATAATCACATTCAAAAAATAGATGTTTGGAAGTTTCCGGCTACTGATGAGAACATAGAGTGCAGGTGTTTGTGTCAAGCACCCTCATGCGACATAGTCTTTCCTGTGTTAACAATCTTTGATGAATGACAAGCCATAGGATAAAAGAATGCTTTGGGTAATGCCATCCATCCTAGACTGTTTTATACCATGGAGCTTGTACATTTTGATGGATAAGCACATTGTAAATAGAGGAAAGATGAACCTTGCTATCAGAACAATTCACTGCAATGATATTCTGCAGATTTGTCACAGTGCCAAATTTTCCAATCATCTTATCCCTGATTTTTATTATCTGTTTCCACATCCAAGAGTCATTAACTTTGGCTTGAACTAGCCATATGCTAGTTTGTTTTAGGTAGTTCTCATGAACCCATTTAATCCATAGCATGTCTTTCTTCAAGTGAATCAACCATAGCAATTTCAAAGCTGCAGCTTGATTCCAGAATTTAGCAGCATATATTCCCAGCCCACCATGTTTTTTACTTTGACAGATATCTGACCAGGACACAAGATGAATTTTGCCATTCCATAGAAAATCAGAGCATAAACTATCAATTTTCTCTAAGACTTTGACTGGCAGTATGTAGTTGCTTGTCCAAAAGAGATGGATACCCAGTATAACTGATTTAATAAGTTGCAGTCTACCAGCATAGGACAGAGCTTTCTTCTTTTGCCAACATTGGAATTGCTCAGATATCTTATTGATCAGGGGGGAACAATCCATGCATGACAGTCTTTTCGAGATCAGGGGAACACCCAGATACCTCACTGGTAGAACACCCTCAGAAAAATTGAGCAATGAGCAAATCTGAAGCTTTAGACTATTATCAATGTCACTCATGTATATAGAACATTTATTTGGATTTGTTTCTAACCCAGAAACTTTACTAAACTCAGAGAGGCACTCCTTAAGTTTTGCTATTGAATGAATATCAGCTTTGCAAAAGAGCACCAAATCATCAGCAAAAAATAAGTGGGTTATCTTGAGCTTTGAGCATTTGGGATGGTATCTGAAGAGACTGTCATTTTTGAAAGAATTTAATTTTCTGGACAGGTACTCCATCCCAAGAACAAATAAGTATGGTGAGAGGGGATCCCCTTGTCTTAAGCCTCTAGCTCCTTTGAAGTATCCATGCAAAGTACCATTAAGAGATAGAGAGAATTTGGAGGTGGTGATACACTCCATGATCCATTTAACCATAGTCACAGGGAAACCCAGACCAAGTAACATAGAGTGAATAAAATTCCAGTTTATGGTGTCGAAATCTTTCCTCAAATCAATATTAAGCATTGCTCTTGGGGATGTGTGTTTTCTGCCATAGTGCTTTATAAGATCATGAGCAAGCAGAATGTTACTTGTAATGAGCATTCCTTTGATAAAAGCACTTTGGGCTTCATTAACTAGAAAACCAATTACTCCCTGAATTCTATTTGCAATGACTTTGGAGATTATCTTGTAAACACAATTACAGCAGGAAATAGGTCTATAGTCTGAAGGAGTTTTAGGGTTAAGGATTTTTGGTATTAAGGTGATTGATGTAGAGTTGATAGCACCAAGAAGCTTACCAGTCCTGAAAAACTCCTCTGTAGCTAGATAGACATCATCTTGAATTTCATTCCAGGCAGCTTTGAAAAAAGATGCATTATACCCATCAGGTCCAGGAGCTTTTTCACTAGGAATAGAAAACAAGGCTTGTTTAATTTCATCTCTTGTGACTGGAGAACTCAGGCAGCTGCTTTGAGTAGAGGAGAGAATAGGACCATTTGATATCACCCTTTGGTCAGTCTCCATAGTTTGCCCAGTAGTGCCCAGGAGATTGGTGTAATAACTAATGAATTCAGATGTAATATCTGAAATATCTGTTAGCCTCTCACCATTGTCAGTGTACAAGGATAGAATCTTATTTTTATTTCTTCTGGATTTCACTTGAGTTCTTCTTCTCCAATGGTTAGCTAAATACGCTTACCCAAAGTTGAGTTGTACAAGGGATTGAAACATCATAAAGAGGGAGTTTGATGATTGCAGATTTTAGGTTAAGAGTTAACATAACAATGATTAGATTTTTTTTTTAGTCGCAATACTAACAGAGGGACCATTTTACAAGACCTTATAGGATTTGAGGGACTAATATGTAATTTCCAAGATGTAAGGGGCTAATACTCAAATTATATTAAGATTTAAGGGAGTATTATGCAATTTTTAAGATGTGAGGGACTAATATACAACTATTGTAGATTTAACTTTTCAGGGACTAATATCTGGTCAAAACCCATATCTCAAAAGAGAACATACTAAACCATCAATCTAAGAAGACCCACACGTACAGATCCCACACACGGATAAGAGAGAGAAAGAGAGGAGAGAGAGAGAGACAGGAATCTTTACTTATTAGTGTACGAAACTCCAAGGATGCTAGCTGTTGCCTTCCACAGCATTCCTGGCAGCAGCAACTCAACTTGCCGATCACTTTCTCCGGTTCTCTCTACTTCTGTCGAAGATATGATTAAGATATATTAAAAGAGTGCTGCTACGGAGACCAAAAATATGGGACCAAGAGAGGGAACATGTGAGATGTCCTCTTCCTATTGCATAATGAGTTAACATATTTTGATCAATGGAGGGGACATGTGATGTGTCCCCTCCCTATTGCATAATGAGTTGGTCATGCCACTCATTATGCAATAGGGAGGGGACACCTCACATGTCCCCTCAATTGGTCTCATATTTTAGGTTCTTAAGTCATTTTTCATATTAAAATTATATGTAAATTGCATAGGTAGGGATCAACGCTAGTTTTAGTTTTGTTTTAAGCCTGATCTAGAACGGACCAGAAAATAAGTGGTTCCAGGTATAAGTGATTTAGCGGTCAAAATTTAGCCTAAGTACAAAACGGGGTCAGAATCGGGCTAGTTTTTCAAAAAAAATATAAGAGAAAATAATTGAAACTGAGTAGTTTGGTCTATGTTTAATTTTGTAGAGTTGTCAAACATACACTAATTTAATTATTTTTCTTTGTTCAAGTACGCTAGAGGTCTACTATCATCTTGTTTTGTTTACATCAAAATTCCAATTGGTATGTTCAACTTTGTTGCAACTCCAAAAATAGTTGGTGTTACAAAAAGAAAAAAATGATTTAAATGTAGTAAACTTGATGTTGAATTCAAATCCATTGGTGATCTAAAAAAAGTATCTGAAATTGCATGTTTGTTGTTATGAATACACTTTTTTTTAATGAGAGAAACTATAAATTAATACACTAGTTAACTAAATACATCATAACTGTACGATAAACATAATCGATCAACACAATTAGTTCCCATCTCAAACTCAAGCTTCATCATCATTGAATTTAGTCTAGACCAATCCAAATAATTTTTTTCTATACCAGCTGTCTAATAGACATAATCTCAAACTCTAATATCAGCATCTCTATGGAACTCCTTCAAAGTAGCTCGACACATCGGGCAGCTACACTGCGTCCTGAACCACTCACCCACGCACGCCGTATGAAACGCGTGCCCGCACTCCGGCAGCACCTTCACCTTCTCTCCCTCGACAAACACACTAAAGCAAATCGAACACATTGATTCCAGGTATAAGTGATTTAGCGGACAAAATTTAGCCTATAAAACAAGGTCAGAATCGGGCTAATTTTTCAGAAAAATAAAAAAAAAATTGAAACTGGCCTACGTTTACTTTTGGAGAGTTGTCAAACACACACTAATTCAATTATTTTTCTTTGTCCAAGTACGCTAGAGGTCTACTATCATCTGGTTTTTATTACATCAAAATTCCATTTGGTATGTTCAACTTTGTTGCAACTCCAAAAATAGTTGGTGTTACAAAAGAAAAAAAAAAACATGTAAAAGTAGTAAACTTGAATGTTGAATTCAAATCCATTGGTGATCTAAAAAAAGTATCTGAAACTGCATGTTTGTTGTTCTGAGTACACTTTTTTTTAATGAGAGAAGTTATAAATACACTAGTACAGTAGTACTCCTAGCTATTTCTAACTAAATACATCATAACTGTATGATAAACATAATCAACACAATCAGTTCCCATCTCAAACTCAAGCTTCATCATCATTAATTGAATTTAGTCTAGACTAATTCAAATAATTTTTTTTCTATGCCAGCTATCTAATAGACATAATCTTAAACTTTAATATCAGCATCTCTATGGAACTCCTTCAAAGTAGCGCGACACATTGGGCAGCTACACTGCGTCCTGAACCACTCATCCACGCACGCCGTATGAAACACATGCCCGCACTCCGGCAGCACCTTCACCTTCTCTCCCTCCACAAACACACTCAAGCAAATCGAACACATTGATTCCTCGCCTAATCCCATTCGATCTTTACCGTGCAGCTGCACGGGCAAGCTGTCGATGACTCTCCGGCCGAGCCCCACAGGGTTCGTCTGGCAGCTG